GAGGATGCTTGGTCCTGAGCCAATCGGAGCTGCTGATAAAGAGGGAGCAAAGGAGAATCCGGTCTGGGTGGTTGGTTTTTGCTTAGAGTAATTTCCCCAGCAAATGCCAGAATGACAATAATGCCTATTCTGATAAAGCAGAGCACCAAGCAGTTGACAGTCTGTTAATTAATGTATTTGTCCTCGCAACAACCCCAGGAGGGGATGCTTGGTCCTGAGCCAATCGGAGCTGCTGATAAAGAGGGAGCAAAGGAGAATCCGGTCTGGGTGGTTGGTTTTTGCTTAGAGTAATTTCCCCAGCAAATGCCAGAATGACAATAATGCCTATTCTGATAAAGCAGAGCACCAAGCAGTTGACAGTCTGTTAATTAATGTATTTGTCCTCGCAACAACCCCAGGAGGTAGGATAATGTTATTATCCCCTTTTACAGCTGGGGAGTCAAGGTACAGAGACAAGATGTGACCTACCCAGGAAGTCACCGAACGCAGGTCTCCCACAACTTGGTCAGTGCTCCAACCACTAGCTCATCCTTCCATCCCAGAGTCAAGAGGGAGGCCTGAATCCAGAAGCCAACCTGAATGCCACCCAATTCATGTGGCACAGAATGGAGCTTGGACTCAGATGTGAATTTCACATGTGGGGCCCATTGCTCCAAAGCCTAGTTCCAAACCCTCCCGTTCTTTTCCCAGGAAGAGTCCGGATCTGAACAGCAGAACGCTACAGAGCACTCGAGTTCTGCTCGTGCCCAAAGGGACATGGGTTCTCTCCGTGTTGTCCTGGTGCTGCCAGACCCCATAATTTCCCCACTGTGGTGCTGCCAGGTCCCATAATTTCCTGTGCAAATTTCAGCTGCCAGTCCATGCAGCCTGGCATGGCATTGACTCCAAAAATCTCAGGCAGTGTAGTGGCTGTGCCAAATAACGTGTGGCTACTGATGGCCTGACCAGCAGCTGCCTCTGACAAGGAAGGGCTCTGTGGACACAAGTCCGACGTGAGCCTGGAAAAGCATACGGAGCTGGTTTCACTGAGCCCAGAAACGCAGCTCTCTCTCTAATGGGACACAGTGGTTGTTAGCAACACACAGCAACAGTCTGGGCCCAGACAGGCAGAAGAGGAAAATCAAGGGCTCAGCAGTAATAGACAGGGCTCAACAAATATTGCAATCTACTCGCCCGTGGCGAGTAGATTACACCCCAGAAGAGCCGGCGTGGAGCAATCTGCACATGTGCAGAGCGCAGAATCGCGCGGCTGGCGAGCCCTGGTAATGGACAAAAGTCCATCTGGGAGCTAGGATCTCGCTGGGATGGGGCGAACCAGTCTGGAAAAAAGTATTTCGGTGAGCTCCAAAGTTTTGGGGTGGCTCTGGAGTTTTGGTGGAATGGGCTGACTCTACCCTTACCTTTGGCACCAGTGATTTTGTAGCCTTAATGGGTTGTGACATTGGGGAACATCTCACCTGCAAGTCTGCGTTGGGATCAGCATGATTTGCAGCAATGTCTTCTTCCTCAGCAGACCCTGCAGAGCAAAACATTGCCAATCAGCCATCATGACAGCGGAAAGAGCCTCTTTCACAGAATCAGAGAATCATAGAACTGGAAGGGACCTTGAGAGGTCACCAAGTGCAGATCCCTGCCCTCAAGGCAGGACCAAGCACCGTTTAGATCTTCCCTGACAAGATGTCTGTCTAACCTGCTCTTAAACCTCTCCAATGCGGGAGATTCCATAACCTCCCTAGGCAATTTATTCCAGCACTTCACCACCCTGATAGGAAATGTTTCCTAATGTCCAACCTAAACCTCCCTTGCTGCAATTTAATGCCGTTGCTTCTTGTCCTATCCTCAGAGGTTAAGGAGAACATCTTGTAACACCCTTTTAGGTACTTGAATGTTATCCTGTCCCCTCAGTCTTCTCTTTTCCAGTCTTCCCTCATAGGTCATGTTTTCTAGATCTTTAATCATTTTGTTGCTCTTCTCTGGACCTTCTCCAATTTCTCTTTCCTGAAATGTGGTGCCCAGAACTGGACACAATACCCTAACTGAGGCCTAACCAGCACAGAGTAGAGCAGAAGAATGACTTCTCGTGTCTTGCTCACAACACTCCTGTTAATGCATCCCAGAAAGATGTTTGCTTTTTTTGCAACAGTGTCACACTGCAGACTCATATGCAGCTTGTGGTCCACTCTGACCCCTAGATCCCTTTCTGCCGTGCTCCTTCCTAGACAGTCTCGTCCCATTCTGTGTGTGTGAAACTGACTGTTCCTCCCTACAGTGGAGCCCTTTGCATTTGTCCTTATTGAACTTCATGCTGTTTACCTCAGACCATCTCTCCACTTTGTCCAGATCATTCTGAGTTATGACCCATCCCCCAGAGCAGCTGCAGCCCCTCCCAGCTCGGAATCATCCGCAGACTTTGCAAGAGAACTCTCCCTGCCATTATCTACATTTTTGAATCCTCTTTGGAGGAGATGGGTGTCCCACTGAGGTTTGGGGGGAGGGGTGTCCCACTGAGCCACCTCTGCAGGGGCTCCAGGCAGTGTGAGGAGCCTCCATCTCTCCCCTGCCTGCAGGCCTCAGCCTAGCGAGGGGGCAAGTGACAAATGGCAGCAGCTGCATTTACTGGGCACCAGGTGCCGACCCGCCAGTTCACTTGTGCTGGGACTCTGTCCCGCCCTGTGCTCTGGCCACCCCGGCACGCCCCATCTCTGGGAGCTCTTGGGTCCCACAGTCGGTCCAAGCCAGCGACCGCATGCTGCAATGGCAGGCTCCCTAGGCCCCTTCAGTCCCAGGAAGCAGGATTTACCTGGCTGCTGCTGGTCTATTTCCTGCAAGTGGGGTCGGCTGGGGGGCACTTTAACAGGGGGCAGGGGGATCCCATTCCTGACGTTCTGCGAAAGAACAAAACAAAAAGGAACTGATGGGGCCTGTGAGGAGAGCCAGGCTGGACAGTTCTCAGGAATGGGGATCTGGGGGAACCAGCTCCCCCCACTCCCCACTGGCCAGGAGGGATAGGCACCAGCTAGTCTGTGGCACTGGGCAGATTGCAGGGTGTGGGCAGAGCCTCAGGAATGGCTGATTCGTTAACTCATCTCTGAAACAGCCCTCAGGCTCCTCCAGGCTTCCCCAGAGGGTGGCTACTCACCTGGAACCCACAGGGTTTTATCTTTGCTGCATTGTTCACTCTGTTTCCCTCTCTGGGATCCTAACCCCACCCTTGGTCTGGGGTTTGCCTCCTCTCCATCCAAACAACAACAGAACCCACCTCCACCCGGATTTTCAGGGCTGATCCCCGGCCCTGAGGACTCATCTGCCTGGTGCTCGGCTCCAAGGTTCACCTTGCCAAGTGTCTGCACTGACATGGCTTACAGCAGGGGAACCCAGGGGAATGATACCAGACCCAGGCCTGAAGAAGCAATTTCTCAACCACAGCAAGGGGGAGTCCTGCCCTGTCTGCTGGAGGAGTCAGGTGGAGAAAGCCTTCAACCAGGCCATGCCATTCAAGCAACGTGGCGGCCCTAGCAGCCAGGAGGAGTGGGTAAAAGGAAGGGTTTTGTCTTTCCCACTGTCTATGGCTTGTTGAAACCCAGGCCCTCCATATGGTGCATGTCTGAGGAGAACGCCCACTGCCTGGCTGTGCGCTTTGGAGCCTGGCCTGGAACAGAGCTTGAGTGGC